GGAGAGGGAGAAGCAGGCTTCCCGCCGAGCAGGGAGCCCGATGCGGGGCTCGATCCCAGGACCCTGGGATCATGACCTGAGCCGAAGGCAGACGGCAAACGACTGAGCCACCCAGGCGCCCCGAGGCAGTCACTTTTATCGATGGCATGGTACTTCCTCGGGCAGGCTCACTGTGGTTCATCTGGTCCTGCAGTGGAGGGCCATTTGGGTTGTGTTGGATTTTCCACTGTCACACTGCTGTTATAATCCATCTGTTACAGACCTCTTAGGGACCTGTGGTTTTCTGTGGGGCAAAGCCCAGATGTGGCTGTCCCATGTCTCGGGCACATCTGGGTTTTGCCAGTCTGGTCTCGGAAATGGCTTAACAGCCACAGTGCCTGCCTGCGGTATAATCGTGTGTGTCCTTACATGTCGCCAAACGCAAGGCATCGATGACTGGACATTAGTAACCCTTTTAATCTATGTTATCCATTCTTTCATGTTTCTTTGATTGTTAATAAGGCTGCATGAATTTTCATGTTATTGGCCACTTGTTGGCGCAAAGCCCTTGAAAACACCTCTCCCCTGAGTCCTTTTCACCTCACCCATCCAACTAGTGGTTCTAAAACGCACCTCTGGGGTGCCCAGCTGGCTCAGTCAGAGGAGCGTGAGACTCTTGATCTCGGGGTCATGAGTTCGAGCCCCACGTTGGAGGTAGAGATTACTTAATAAACTTTTAAAAATAAATAAATAGGGCGCCTGGGTGGCTCAGTTGGTTGAGCGACTGCCTTCGGCTCAGGTCATGATCCTGGAGTCCCAGGATCGAGTCCCACATCGGGCTCCCTGCTCAGCGGGGGATCTGCTTCTCCCTCTGACCCTCTTCCCTCTCGTGCTCTCTGTCTCTCATTCTCTCTCTCTCAAATAAATAAATAAAATCTTTTAAAAAAATAAAAATAAATAAAAAATAAAACGCACCTCTCACCTCGTCACCCAGCTGCCTGAAATGTTCCCTTGCTCCCACTGTCCTTGAGGTAAAGACCAAAGTTTGTTTCATGGCCGGCTGCCATGCACACTTTGCCCTGTCCAGACTGAAGGGCTCAGGCTTTATTTATTTTTTTTAAAGATTATTTATTTGAGAGAGAGCGAGCGAGCAGGGGAGGAGGGGCAGAGAGACAGGCAGACTCCCCACTGAGCAGGGAGCCCGCTGTGGGGCTTGATCCCAGGACCCTGAGCCGAAGTCAGATGCTTACCTGACTGAGCCACCCAGGCACCCCGAAGGGCTCAGGCTTTTAGTGTATACCCATACCAGACTTTCTCCCTGATCTGGGCCTTTGCTTGGTCCCTCCACACCTGTAACACTGTTGCTCAATGCTGTTGTCCTTAAACTACTTTATTGTAAACACACACGTGGGACTATAAAGTATATATCTATAGGATTTAATGAATGGAAAGGTGAATCCCTGTGTACGCAGCACCAAGGCTAGGAGGTGGGACTTATACCAGTGTCTAGAAGCTCCCCGGTCCCCCTTCCTTCTCCTTCTCCTTGGTTCCCCGTCTTTTAAGTCCCTGCTAGCCACCTCTGTCTCCAGGAGGGCTTCGCCAAGAGCCCTTGGGTTCACCCCACCAGCGTGGCCCCATGACCTGGCATCCTGTTGACAGGATGCTCTCTCTCACTACTTGCTGAGCTCCCTAAGGGCCAGGACCGCAGCCGCACCAGCATAGGTGTGTGCCTGGCCCAGGGCCTGGCATGGGGCGGGTGCTCCGTAAGTGTTCATAATTATTCTTCCAGCAGCTGCTGTTTACCCAGCAACGAACCCGGCGCTTTATTCGCGTTTCTTCTAGTAGCTCTTTTGGTCCTGACTGCAGTCTCCACTCGGTAGATAAGGAAACCAAGCCTGGGGAGGGCCAGGGGCTTGCCCGGATCCCTAAGTGAGGGAAGGGCAGAGTTGGCATTTGAACCCAGGTTGGCCTGACCTCAGCTGTGCCCTTGGCCTGTTCTCTGGTTCTCCGTGGGCTCCCAAGACAGTGAAGGAACAAACAAGTGAAGGAAGGGCAGGTGAGGCTAAAGTGGGTGTCAGGCGCTTAGCAGATGTCTGTTCTCTGTGGCCGCTCCCCAAGGGGCCTGGGAGGTGCAGCTGCCCTCACTCTGCCCCCACCCCAGTGTGGGATGTAGGTTTCATGAATGGCTGGGTAGCAGCTCTGGAGAGCGGAGCCTGCACTCAGCCCTGGGACTGGCGCATGGATGAATGCCCTGTCAGACTGTTGCAGGCAGGCGGAGCCGGGGCGGGCCCCCTGGGAGGATGCTTGCTCTGGGGGCAGCACCTAGGCTCTGAACTTGCGAGGTCAGCCCCCGTTGTCGCTGTGTGTCCACGCGCCGGACCTGCGCCCTCTCTAAGCCTCCTCTCCTCATGCGTTCGTGGGCATGTCTCTGGGGACCTTGTGAGATGGTGTCAGACATGCTTGGCCACCAGCCCTCATCTTCATCGTCCTCCTTTACATGTGAAGAAACTGAGGCTCGACGGATTAAGGCGTGGTCTGGGCTCATCCTAGCAAATTCTCTTTAAAACTTAATGAAAATAGGTGGTTTTTTTTTTAATGATTACAAAAATATTCATGCTTATTTTAGCAAAACCCAAAAGACACATAAAAACAAGAAGAAAACTTGTCCCCCACTCCACCATGTTCCCATTTTGGTGAACACCTGTCTGGTGGCCCCTCCACCCAGGGTTCTGTGTCAGCTCCATCCTCCCTGGCTCTTGGGCACATCATTGATCTCCCAAAGCCTCAGTATGCCTTTCTATAAAGTGGGTGTACTCGTGGACCATCCCTCTTAGTACCGCATGAGTTAGATGCGTTGATCCATATGAGAACAGACCCTGGTCCCCCCTTAGCTTCCCTCGTCCGTGAGTGCACATCTGCGTGTGCACATCCACATGTGCACAGCATATCTCAAGCCCCAGCTGAACCTCCCGGTCCCAGAGAGCGCAGGATCTCTCCTGTGTGCCGAGAGTAGCAGCAGGTCTTAGACACTATTCATCCAGGCACCGGGCTGATCGTGTTACATGCACGAGCTCACTGACTCCCCCAGAATAGGGCCAGGAGTGTGGGCCGTAGCTTCTCCCATTTCACCAGTGACACCCAGGGGCATGGAGATTTTAATCTTTGGTTGCTTGACTCAACCTCCTGTCCGCACACATCTTTGCAAAGTGAGCTCATGCTGTCGTGTGTGTGCATCTCTTGGGACGCATTTGGTACTCAGCTGTGAGTTTATCTGAGACGTTGCAGCGTGTGCTATTGTCAGATCTCTCCTGGACGTGCCCCGGTCTCCGAGAGGCATGTTGCTGTGGGCAGAGGACACTTCTTGCCCGGTTTTCTCCATGGCCGCCACTCAAGGATCGACCTCAGCCCTGCCTTGGCTTGTCCATCCACAGGCCTGTTCCTGTGGATCTCGTCCAAGTGAGTCTTGTAGCCTCTCATGACCAGAATAGGCTGTGCTTCTCCCCACAGAGCCCCAAAGGCTTCCTGGAGAGTTACGAGGAGATGATGGTCTATGCCCTGCGGCCCGAGACCTGGGCCACCACACGGCTGGAGCTGGAGGGCCGTGGGGTGAGTTGGTTTATGCTGAGCCCCAGTGTAGTGGGGTCCCTTGTACCCAAGATCCTCAAGCCGGGGGGGTTTGCTGGTGCGGAGCTCTGCCTTGATTCCGAGGCCTGAGATGGGCCCATCGCTGCTGCTAGCCCTTGGTTCCTGCCCTGCCGTGGGCCCCGGCCGTGGGGGACACAGCCACAGCTGCACCCCATTGTGACCCAGAGATGTGCCCACTCACCCATGCGTTCCCACCCAGGCCCCCACGCACCTGTACCTCTCTGGACTTGGTCTTCCCATCTGGACAGTGGGCCTGCAGCCTTCAGAGCATCCCTGCCCTCTCACAGGTGGTGTGCATGAGCTTCTTCGATATTGTGCTGGACTTCATACTTATGGACGCCTTCGAGGACCTGGAGAACCCTCCATCCTCGGTGCTCGCCGTCCTGAGGAACCGCTGGCTGTCAGACAGCTTCAAGGAGACGGTGGGTCGCTGCCCTCCGCATCCAACACACATACTCATGTCACCCCATGCCTTGGCCCAGCCTCTGCTTTCCTTTGGGCACCGAGCCTGGGCCCCCCACCCGGCAGGCAGCAGGCACCCCACTGGGCGGGTTCCTCTCCCCTGCGTAATGTGCAGCTCCCGAATCTGGGTAGACCAGGCATCCGCTCTGCAGCAGTTTCCCAGGGGACCCCGTTGTTCTCTGCACCTGTGTAGGACCCGCATGGTGGGCGTTGTCCTTCTGCATTGTGGTCTCCGTTAATTCTACTCAGTTTTAATTCATCTTACTGAGTTAAAACAGGAAAAAGAAAGGAACAGCAGGGGAAGTTGAGTGTGGGGCCCTGTGGGGCAGGCGTGACCTGGGGCTGGTCTTCACGCAGTTTGCAGGCGGTGACCGTGGACCCCCACAACCTCTGAATGTGGTGGGGTGTGGGGTCATGGCCATTTTACAGAGAAGGAAACTGAGGCCTGGAGAAGTTCAGTGGCTGGTCCAAGGGCCCCACAGCAGTGTTAGAATCAAGTTCAGGTTTAGGTGTGGCCGGTTCCTAACTGAGGGGAGGGAATCAGCAGAGCTCAGGCACCAAGCCGCATCCCTCTGCTTGGGGTGGTGGGAGCTGGGGGACATAGATAGAGGCCTGTAGGCCCGGCCTGTCCTGCTGAAACCTGGGTGGGGTCCCATCTTTGGTTTAGGCTCTAGCCACTGCTTGCTGGTCAGTCTTGAAAGCCAAGAGGAGACTGCTGATGGTGAGTGACCCCCTCGGGCCCCGGGCATGGTACCCACCTCAGCTGACCCACCGGCATGCCCTGGCTCTTGGTCTGGGGGCAGAGGCGGGTGGGGGGCGTGGGCAGAAGAATGGGGCTGGTGCAGGGAGGTCTTGCTAAGCCCCCAGGCCCTGTCGTACCTCTTGGCCTCTGCCACAGCTCCTGCCGTTAGCTCTCCCTTGACCAGGAGGACCTCAAAGACACACATAGGTCTGCTTCGTCTCCTCCCCAGGACCCCGCACAGCATGGGCCATGGGGAAATGTGGAAGGACTCAGAGGGGAAAGGGCATCCTTGAGGGAGGAAGGGCCTGCGCAAAGGGGTGGCAGCTGGCTTGGTAGAGGCATATGGTGGGGGCAGGGTGCCCCGGGAGCAGGCAGAGCAGCCTCCCTCCCGCCCCCAGGCTGCTGTTATCTGCTCTCCCAAGCAGGGACTGGCAGCTCTATCTGGGTGCGATCCATTCTCCCCTCTGCCAGCCAGGCTTTGCTGCCCGGTTGATACCAGCTGCCACTGCCAAGTACACTGGGCACTTCCTGTGCTGAGCCCAGCCCACCCCCTCCTCGTGCAGTCCTCACAGCAACCTCGAGGTTACCCCATTCTGCAGAGGTGGAGGCCCCCGTTACTTGCCTGGGGTCACCCAGCAAGCATACGACTGAGCCAGGCCTCCCTCCAAAGCCCAACTCTTCGCTAGGCCCCCAGGGCCTGGCTGCCTCCCCCAGCTGGCGTCCCAGCCCTCAGCTTCGCTACCTTTGCAGGTGCCCGATGGCTTCATCTCCCATTTCTACTCCGTATCGGAGCACGTTAGCCCCGTCCTAGCCTTCGGCTTCCTCGGACCCAAGCCCCAGCTCTCGGAAGTCTGTGCTTTCTTCAAGGTAAACGGAGTGCGTGGCCTGCCTGGGCTGTTGGGCGCACGCGGGTTCGGGGGTGCCTGGAGGGAGGCCAGCCCACAGGGGTCTGTAGGAAGCACTGGGAGGGCGGAGCCTGTGGATGGGGTGGGGCTCCGGTAGCCAGGGCGCGGCTCTGGGTGGTCTCGAGGGCATCTGTGCTGGGGGGACGGGGCCCGAATCCGGGCCCACGCCAGCCTTGCCCCCCAGCACCAGATTGTGCAGTACCTGAGGGACATGTTCGACCTGGACAACGTGCGCTACACCTCCGTGCCGGCCCTGGCAGACGACATCCTGCAGCTGTCCCGGCGCCGCAGCGAAATCCTGCTTGGCTACTTGGGGGCGCCAGTGGCCAGCAGTGTGGGCCTCAACGGGGCACTGCCCCGAGAGAACGGGCCCCTGGAGGAGATGCAGTAGCGGCGGGTACAGGCTTGGGGAAGGGGGCTGCCTGGGCCTCGTCTGCCTGGGCGATGGCCATGAGAAGGTCTTCTCCTCCCCTCCTTTGGGTTGGCATTGAAGGGCCTGGGGATCCATGGCCATCAGCAAGAGCAGAGTCTGGGCCTGGGTGGCCAAGGGTGATTGCCCCTGACCTTGTCCCTCCGCATCATTTGGGAATCCCTGCCAACTGCCTTGGAGAGGGTTGGAGCCCCTGGGAGCCCACCTGACTGCCCTCAGCTATCCCTGGGGGAAGTGGCGGCTGGACCAGTGACCTGCAGGGCCCGAGGGAGAGGAAGGTGGTGGGAGAGAGGGGGTGGCATTGTGAGGAGAGATGGGACGGGCAGACCCGGGATGCCCTTGGTGTGGGACCCCAAAACCTCCCCCCACCCCAGGGCTGCTGATGAGGGGGGCTGGGAAGGTAGAGGTGGAAGATGGGGGTGGCAGGGCTCTGGGGGAAGGCCACGATGTCCTGAGCTAGAAGGAACCTGGGCTAGACAGTCTCTGGCTGCCCAGTCCCACTGGCTGCCACCCCTGCCACCACCCTAGAGAGTTTGCAGCTCCAGAAAGTGAGGGTGGGGTCACAGAGTACCTGGGGAACACCTTGGGAGGTGGCAGGCCTGGACCATCCAAGGGTGGGACAGGCTGGGTCTACTTTCCTTGTGCTCAAGTCTGGGCAGGGACTGGGCCCTTGGCAAACCCAAGCGCGAAACTAGAATGCTGTCTTCTGACATGCCCTTATCCTGCCAAAGACTGTCATTTCTCTTCCCCTTTTGCCACCACCAAAGACGGAGGAGGTGGGGCTGGTCCTCCCGCCCACCCACCTGCTTCTGTGAGCCTGTACCCCCCTGGGTGGTGCTAGGGCTGAGCTGGAGGCTCTGACCAGGGCTCATCTCAGGCCCGTTGCCTGTGCTGCCATTGGTGGGGGCCCAGGGACCACATCAGGGAGGTCAGAGGACACACAGGGCTGGACCGAATCCCCTGCCCTCATTAGGACAGGAAACTTTGCCGGGCACTTTGCTTTGGCTCGACGCACAAATGCTCTAGCTGCGCAGTGGCTGGTCCTACAGCTGTCCCCACATTGTCCCCACATTGTCCCCATGTCTGCGGGGTGCTGTCAGCCCTGCAGACTTACTTCTCTCACAGTGTTTTCACCGGAGGTGGGATGTTTTATTTATTGCCTTAACACTTTATTTTGAGGTTCTGCCCCTTTCAGGCCGAGAAGCCTCCCAGAGACACTGAGGCCTCTTTGGTCTCCCTACTCCGGAGGACTGGCTCCTCAGACCAGGGCCCCTCTCCCCTGAAAGGCAGAGGGGTCCTGGGAGGGAGAGAGAGGAGAAACAGAGAGGGGTGGTGTGGGCCCGGCCCATCAGCTCTGAGCTCATTGCCCCTACCTGCACGCTCCCTCCTGTTCCCCAGACTGGGGGGCTCAGTGTTGAGCCAGGGCTCCGGCTCCAACCCCCGCCCTCTGAGGTTGGTGCCCAGGAAGGAGCAGCCTCTGGGGTGGGAAGGCCTGGGGTGGCCCTCCTCCCTTCCAGCCCCACATTCAGTTCATTTGCACTTACCCCGCGCTATGAATGTCATCTTGGGCCTGGGCCCCGGCCACTCTGATTTGCTCACAAATCACTCAGAGTGGCATTTTCATCTTGTCTTTGTTTACACGTCCATGCACTGCCTCGGGCACTTGATTTGTTGCAGCTTCCAACTTTTGTATGGTAGAGTGTGTGTGCATCGACTTCCAAATAAATGATTTAAACAATGTCCTTCTGGGGTGCCTGGGTGGCTCGCTCAGTTAAGCGTAAGCGTCTGCCTTTGGCCTGGGATCGAGTCCCGCATTGGGCTCTCTGCTTGGTGGGGAGTCCGCATCTCTCTCTCTCAAATAAACAGATGGGATCTTTAAAAAAAAAAGTTTAAAAACAATGTCCTTCCACGTGGCCATGCTGATGGGTACATGTGTGGCCATTTGCTTCCTGGGCGACCGCTGGGGACTCGCTCTTTGGGGCGCAGTGGGTGGAGTTTCCAAGAGGGCAAAGGTGGGGGGAAGCTTGGTGGGGCCTGGGAGTCCCCTTGGGGCCACTTGGCAGCCTGGCTGGTTCAGTGGGTCCTGAGGCAGGGAGGGCCCTCAGGATGGGGGGGTCAAGTGGGGGAGTGTTCAGCACAGTGCTTAAGGGCATAGATGGGGGGCAGCTTGGGTGTGGATCCAGCTCAGGCAGCATCTAGGTAAGGTCGCTTCTCTCTGGGTCTCAGTGTCTACATCTGTAGGATACAGGGGTTGGACCAGCTATGGGGGCGGCAGGCAGGCTCAGGTTCAGTCCCCGTCGAGCCGGGTGAAAGACTGGAACGGGTAGGAATGGATCAGATCCAAGCTGTCCCGATCGGATGTCTTCACAGGCCTCGGGAGGTTTATTGGAAAAGTACTCAAAAAAACTTTCACTTTGAACATTTTTAAATGTACAGTGAAGTTAAAAGGAAAACCCTAAAAAGATCACTTATCAAACCAACACCTTGAATCGTTAATTTACATTTTGCCGTATTTACTTAATGTAAATATTTCTTCTCTAAAATATTCCAGAGTGTCAGACACATACTTCACCCCTAAACACTTGAACAGGCAGATCTTAAATAAGGTAGCTTTCCGGCATAACCACAATGCCATAATCATGCCTAGGAAAATATTATTGGTAACTATTATCTGGAGGATTCTGAAAAAAAGCTTCTCCTGATCGAATGGAGGTGGCCACTTCCACCTGAAAAAGAGAACAGATGCTTTCTTTTATTGTTCCCTTTGCTGACCTGATCCTTACCGCCAATGCTGGCAAATAAGTTTGCATTCAACAGTTTTATTAAGGTACAATTTGTATGCTATAAAGTGCACTTGCTTTAATGATTTTATACTTTTTTAAATTTTTATATATATTTAAAAAAATTTTTTTAAGTTTGCTCCACCCCCGCGTGGAGTCCAAAGTGGGGCTTGAACTCATGACTCTGAGATCGAAACCTGAGCTGAGATCAAGAGTCGGACACTCAACCGACTGAGCCACCCAGGTGCCCCAACTTTAATGATTTTTTTTTAAAGTAAATTTATAGAGGTGGGCAACTGTAACCACAATATAATTTTAGAATAGTCCCGTCACCCCAGAAAGACCCCTTGTGCCCATTTGCAGTAAATTCCCCAGCCCCCAGGGCCCCACTCATTTATTTTCTCTCTCAACTTGCCTTTTCTGGACATCTCCTGTAAATGGAATCATAATCATGTGGTCTTTTGTGCTTGGCTTCTTTATATAGAATCATATTTTTGAGATACATCCATTTTATGGCATATTTCAGTATTTTATTTTTCAGTTGCTGAACAGCATTCTGCAGTGAGTTTTTCCCCTTCTTTTTTGCACACCAGTATGGATTCACGAGTTTCGATTTATTTGATAATTTATAGTCACTTGCACTCATTCTTCTGATGCTCAAATGGTCACAAAATTGACCACCAGGAGTCCCTTGGAGCTGACTCCTGGGTCTTTTTGACACCCCCTGCCCCAATCAGTCTTCAAGCACTCCCTTCCCAGCGTAAGATGTCCCAGGAAGCTCAGAATCCCAGAGACCAGGGCTGGGAAAGCTGAGGGGAACCCTGGCCCATTTCTGTGGCAGACGGTGGACTGTTACAATCATGGCCCCCACAAACCATGCCTCTTAGAATCCATGTCCTTGTATGGGCCTCGCCCATATCAGCCCTGGGCTTGGCTGCGTGACCTATCTTGGCCAGTGGGACAAGAGCAACGTGATGCAGGCAGAGGTTTGAGCACTGGAGCTTTGGGACTTGCCCTCTTGGAAAGTAGCTGCTGCCATGAAGGAGACCGGGGCTCCTTTGCTCGGGTGGCCATGTGGAGAAGAGCGTCGGCACCCTGGCCCAGGCTTGGAGGAGGCTGCTTGGACCACACAGGCCCAGTAGAGCCCCAGCAGAACCGCCCAGCTGAGCCCAGCCAAATTGGCCGATCTTGAGCAATAAAATGGTGATGGTTTTAAGGCATTATGTTTGGGGCTGGCTTGTTACACAGTGGTAGATGACTGACTCCAAACCCCTTGTTGATCAAAGGGGAGATCGCAAGGGGAGGGGTGACCACCCCAGTGCGGATAGTGAGTCCGTGGCAGTCCCAGGATGGATGCCCAGGTCTCCTGAACCCACGCCCTCTGTCCTTCACCTTGGAGTTGTCTGTATTTACATGAGGTCATGATCAGCCTCCGGGCTTCTGTTACACGAGACTGATTCTTGCACAGCATGAGAAGAGGTGCGGATGGTGAGATGGAGAGCTCTCACACCAGGTGCTCAAAAAACAGTTTGAATTACAATATAAAGGCCCCCAGGATGTGTACACAAATGTGACAGGACAGTCATTTGTTCACCAAGTATTTATTGTGCACCTGCTGTGTGCCAAGCACTGCTCTAGGCACCACACAGGCAGTGGCAGATGTGAGAGCTGCCTGTGTATCTCTTTTCCACTCTCTGTTCAGGAACATCACAGTGGTAGCTTGGAAGTGGCCACAGGAGAGAGTATTTACACCACAGAAATCAGAAAATGCCACCAGCACAAGGGATGAGCCAGACAACTGGTCTCAAGGACTTGGCACCATGGTGCTTGTAACTCCAGACCCTGGCTTCTAGAATGTTCTGTTCTAGGAGACAGGCAATAAATGGCTCTTCCCAGAGGTTTTGGAGCCAGAACGTGACTTCTAGAATGGCTCCTCTCAACCAAAATGTCACTTCTTAGTTTGAAGCCATTGGTTTTTTTTTTTTTTTAATTTTGAGTAAACTCTACACCACACATGGGGCTCGAACTCATGACCCCGAGATCAAGAGTCACGGGCTCCACTGACTGAGCCAGCCGGGCACCCTGAGACCATCTGTCTTTGCAACTGGCATCTTTGGGCTCCAGGAGTCCAGCCTCCACTGGAATGAGTTCCCTGAGGATGGCGCACCACTGGTCAGGTTTGCCCTTCATCCCTGATGCCCATTCCTAGTCTGGCACTGGCTGGGAACTTCATTTCTAAAGTGAACGAATGAAACTCTCATCTGGCGGGTAGCAGCAGATAGATTTTGGGGAAACAGGCCCAGAGATGGGGATTTTCCTACAGGACTTTGAGCACAAACCAGTGCAGGTGGGGTACAGTGCCCTGGCAAATGGGGGGACAGTCAAGAGCCTCACTTGTCCTCGGCTATAAACGGGGGGCATTCAGCACTGCCTTGCACAGTGTTGTGACAACAGTACAAGTGACTAAG